ACCGTCGGAAAGCTCTTGGCAGGCACCACACCGATGCCATCAAGGTTCATCAATCTTCTTCTCTCTTCCTTGCAGGAAAACGATGTCGTATCGGACCGCGTGAATTTCACCATCAACATATGTAATGACCATGCTATGTTATTTCACATATATTAATTTGAGTTTATTTGGAATTGATTTGAAATTTAGAGAATTTAATTATTTTTGTTTAATTAAATTCTATCTAATTGCTCCATAGATTTAATTGTGTTTTAGTAGTTGTTTCTATGTTTAAATTATGGACTTAGACTTGTTGTATATTCACTTTGTTATGTTTTGAGCATTGGATAATATTGTTGTCTTGTGTAATGAGTTGCACACTTTGTATTTGACATCTTTCATGCCATAATAGTTGTGGATTTAGAGAATGTATTGTATGTGTTTCCAAATTTGGTTGTGCGTGGTAGATAGTTAATTATCTTATATATACGTTGTTGCACAACTTATTGATTTTGGAAACTTGGGGATGTCGTTATTTGACTACGGTTAGGATATGGCTCTAATACGGGGATTGTCCCTCTATTGTCTAGTGCGCACATAGAGAGGTTACACGTGGGCTAATAACCCTAAAATAACTATGGTGTCAATCTGATCCGGCATGATATCCAAGTATCCACTTTGTTTGATTTCGCATTTCATTTCAAGTTGATAACTAGATGATGTTGTAACTTGTTGTTCCCTAATTGATTGCCCATTTTAAGTTTCAAGATGCTAACTTTGAGAATTCATGCTTTATGCGTTGTATTGGAAGTTCCAATGTTGGTTAAATTGCATCGATATTGTGATTTGTGTTTCATTATTCTAATGTAGAAAAGAACGATTCCTTAGACTCATTTTAGCTTTCATATCTTATTGCGTTGTATAGTATGCTTCTATATGTTTAATTGCATAAATATTGTAGTTTATGCTAGAAATGCTTTAAAGTAGCTTAGGATGATTCCTGAGTCTCACTTATGATATAGACATTAGGTAGCATGATCCTTTTGAATTGTTTCATATTAATATAAAAATCTGTAAAAAGTTGAGTCTATGCATGCTCATTCCCTATGAGTAACTTGTTTACTCACTCCAAAGTTATCGGGTGATTTGTCACGTACGGATGCCTTGGTTTGGGATGCACAATATTCCTGGATCGTTTCGATGAATTGAAGTTATTTAAGTATATTCTTGTTCATAATTCATGCAAATGTTAGCATGAAATCCTATTGGTAGATCATGTTTCAAAACTTGTATATTTGATTCCATATATGTAATGTGTACGTAAGTACACCTTTTGTAATGTATTTGACATGTGTGAGATGAGACCGGAGGCCAATGACAACTAGTTTGTATCCTATGTAACTTTCAACTTCATGAAATATTATGAAAATATTGAAAAATGACAAGTCATTACTTCACCATGTTTGCATCGGGTGTGGGAATTCCATTTTTATTCTTTCATAGGGTCTCATTAATCATGTATGAAGTGTGGCCAAGGGTCAAACGGTAATTTGAAATTATTTGTAAATTTTGGTTTTCAAATTTCCCATTTCTTGTTCATTTTTGCCTTTTTGGCTGTCGGGGGGTCGTATTTTGCATCGACGGTATTTTTAAGCCGTGGACCATTGTAGCACATTCTAATGGGTAAGTTACGTTTTTTTGCATGATCGTTTTCAAGAAAAACCTCCTCCTTGGTGATTTGAGCCTCCTATGGACTCATTTTGCATTTTTATTGCATAATCCGGTTTAAGGGCATTTTGGAATTTTCCTTCAAGAAATAAATTCCAGTCTTCACATAGTCACTTAGAAAACGTGATTTTAGGGGAGGTTTCTTCTTTGCGTTTTTCCAAAAAATGTCTTCTTGGTATCAGAAATCCCTCGTGAGGTTTAGCTTTCTGTTTTTCATTTTAGCAACTTTTTGACCCTCATGACCTGATTTTATGGAGGGGCATTCTGGGCATTTCACAGTGAGTTCTTTTCATTTTCGTTCACGATGTCGAGTAGAAAACTCAATTTTGGGGAGGGGGGGTTCACTTTGTGTTTTTTCAGAAAATGTCATCTTGGCCCTCAAAAACCCTCTTTTTTTTCCCGAAAATCCCTGCTGTCAGCTTTTTGCTGAGCTGTAGTACAAGTGTAAGGGTGCATGATCTCGTAACCGGTTACGTGTGCTTGGGCAGAATTCGTGACCTCTGTTTTTGCCTTCTAACCGGTTAGATGTTCTTTGGTTGGCTCCTTTTGACCTTTTTGCCCCTTTTTTCTTCCGTTAGCCATATCTTTTTCGTCTAGACTCCGAATTAAGTGATTCTTGAGTCTAAGTTTATTAATTTTTCGTTGTCTTTCCAATGGTGTACTCAGTAGCACTCACTTTCATTTTGAAAATGACCATTTTTCCCCTAGGTTCATTCTTGTCCATTTTTTAAACGTCGCTTCCACATTTGTTTTCTTTGAGTTTCATGACCTCATTGAGGTTCACATTGGTGTCTTAGAGATGTGTTATATCTCTACAGACCATTGTTTTTTCTTTTGCTTCCTCATTCTGAATTCGTTATCAGATCTATATTCGATTCATCACATGACGCACTGGCCTAAAAACCAAGGCCATCACACTCTTTCTCCCATCTTAACCACACCAACCATTCATAGCCATACTAGACAGGGCCGGCTTGACACTTAGGCGACTTAGGCGGTTGCCTAAGGCCCAAACCAACAGGAAGACCCCTAAAAGTATTCTTTCCTTATTGTATTAGACTTCTTTAAAAAATTATTTCTTAGGTAACCAAGCCTATAAGAAGACCCCTAAAAGTATTCTTTCCTTATTGTATTAGACTTCTTAAAAAATTTATTTCCTTTATCAGTTAGGCCCTATAGGTATTATGGGTTTAATTTTGTTTGTAAGAAGTTTAGAAATACACTTATACAGGACACTATAACAAGATATAGGTCTGTAATCAGTTGGGGAGGTGGGATTTGGGTTCTTTGGTAAAAGTGCAAGATAGTTCAAGAATTGAAGCAAACTATTATCCTCTTTGATGAAGAGTGACCGAGTAATGGGAGTCAACCGAGCTGTTATATAATCGATCGAAGCCTTGTCTATTTGCATTAGTTATTCTTTTAATGCATTTCCTTGAGTTCAAAATCGCACTTGCATTTTCTATACTACAATAGATTCGTGTGCTTGTGAGTAAAATAAACATTTAAAATTTCTACATCAAGTTTTTGATGTCGTTGTTGAGGAATTCAACAAGAAAGCTAATTGAATTTAGATTAGGACTGAAAGTTGGCCTGGCCCAACCCAACCCAATCTCAACCCAACCTCAACGGGTTGGGTTGGGCTACCCCGAATTGTACCCAACATGGGTTATGGTCATAACCCAGCCTGAATATTTTTGGGTCGGTCGGGTTGGGTTAACAGGTTGCGTTTTTTTTTTTCCCCCCCGAAAATTTATATATATTTGATTATATTATTATTAAAAAACAAAATATTTTTAGGGCAAATCATTTCAACCTCCCCAATGGCCTCCATCTCTGGTATCATTCTCAACTCTCTCTCTCTCTCTTTCCAACTGCAAATTTACAAAATCTACAGGAATCAGAAGTTCAAAACCCATATATTTCAGTTTATTTATCTGTCTTCAAGAATCAAAAGTTCAAAACCCATATCGGCATATCATTTCAGATTGTTCAAAAAATCAAAACTCATATCTTTCAGTTTCCATTGCCCGCTGTTCCAGTTCAGGTTCGTCGTTCGCAAGCTTCAGCCACTATCTCTCAACTCTCAAGCTTGCCCCCCTCTCTCTGCAACTGCTAACTTGTATGTATGAGTTTTGTTTTAATTTTTGGAAGTGACAGCGGCGGCAGTGGATCAGCGGCTGAGGGCAAGGGACGGCGGCGGCAGCGGCAACAGAGGGGACGGCTGCAAAAAGAGAAAGAAGAGAGAGGAGAAAAAAAAAAATTTAAAAATAAATTTTTTTTTTATTTTGGGTTTTGGGTTGGGTTCGGGCTGAGCCCAAGCCCAACCTGAACATGAGCCCGATTTGTGAATTTTAAGTCCAAATTTCAAAATTTCTGGGTTGGGTTGGGTTAGCCCGCCCAAGTTACAGCCCTAATTTAGATTGATTTATTTCTTCTACTAGTTGTAGCTTTAGGTTTTATTGACAAAGAAAAAAAAAAGTCAGTATTTTTATTTCTATTCTGGGCGTGTTTGTCCTCATTTGATTATTTTAGTTCCTTATATCGTTGCTCTTGTTCTGCTTGACCTATCTCGTTACAAGTCCCATTTTCATCACTTTGTAGAAGTCAATTAATGGCCCAATCCCATTGTAGAGAACCTTTTAATTTTAGCCTAGAGTTAATACCAACCCAGCCCAGTTGTTTTTAGACCAGTCCAATCCGTGTGTGGCTCAGTTTAGCATATTTCTCTTTTAAATTCTAACCCAGTTCAACCACTAGCCGAGCAACCCATTTTAAATATAAAAAAAAACCAAATCCGTGTATGTCCTAGCCCAGCCCATTTCATTGTTTTGAACCAAGTTAAGCCCACTTTGTTTTACATCCAGCCCAAACCAGTTTCATTTCTGTTTATTTTTAAATCCATTTCAACTTCACTTCACCCTTAAATACCCCAGACCATTCCAGCCAAGCCCAAACCAGTTGGCCCAGGTCTAGATACCGTAGCAAATAGTGTTTAAAGTACTATTAAAAAATATTTTTCTTATTATTATTTTTTTTATTTTTAATTAATTTTTCTTTTATTTCTAATTTTCTTTTTGAGGGAGTCACGAATCTTGGTTTGAGGGCCGAATAATTAAATTTTATTTTAAATATAAATTATAATATAGTTTTGCATATAGTATATATTCATAATATATATACGCCGATAAATTTAAAAAAAAAAAAAAAAAAAAATGCTAACTTTAGTAAACACAAAAAAAAAATTTGATTTTACCTTTGAAAAAATATATCATTATTATCTTCACCAAAGATTCAGAAAAATAATAATTTTAACTAAATAAAATTACACAAATTCTATAACTTCATACAATAAACCTGTTAAAGAACGAATTAATTGGACCCCCTCTCCTTGGGAAGAAATGAGATTATTACGAATACAACACATTAAGAAATGAGATTCTTGCGAATACAACACCGTATGTAACCTGCTTGCACAATGGAAAGGGCCACTGGTTTCTCTCTCCAACGAATCAAATCAAATTGGCCAAAGGTGTCTGTTCATGAGCCCATGCTGAAGTTTCAATCCTGCCAATATCCACACCATGAAATTAAGAACCAGTAGCCCAAACAAGATGCCCAAATAAAAACATCCACGCCCAGACTGATAAACTATTCATACCAAAGGGTTATATCCATTGATCAGTTGGGAAGAGTTTAACCATAAATAATCTCTTAACCATCCCATCAAATAAGTTGGCTTGAAAATAAGACCCAGAACGTTATCTGAAGATTAGCCAGAGAACGTTATCTGAATCTGCCTTGGATCTCTGAAGATTAGCCCCCGCATATATAAGCACCTTCTTCATAAAGTTAGAATATGTTATCTCTGTATTATAAGTGTCGTCGGGCTGCAAAACATACAAATTATGAGTCGGATTAAATTATAAATGATATTTGTAAATTGAGTCGTTTTCATCCAAACTGTTCAACCTTTTGGAGCAGTCACTCCTTCCTTTTAGAGACTTCTGTCTTACTAAAGACAAGATTAAGCACTTTGTCATCCTCTTCGCCTTCCCATTTAAACATTTTTTTTTTGTGTGTTTTTCCATATTGAGGAAGTATTCCTTCCCTTCCTTTGGTGTGCTTGATACCAAACTCTGCTAGGAAAATAAATGCATTACTACTATAATGACAATAACAATCAAAATATAAACTTTGAATATAGACCAACCTTATAGTATTTCATCCAATACTCAATTGGTTCTCTTCCCAATCCCCAGTTCAAACTCCTTAAATGGAATAAAATGTTATTGTGCTTGCATTGGTAGCCTGTATGAAAAAAAAAAAAAAAAAAAAAAAAAAAAAACATTTTAAAAACAAAATCCAAATTGATTAAAATTTAATTATTTACTAATTCGCACCTTCAAATCGGAGTAATAAACCCTGCTAAGAATGAAATCTTGCAAAGGTGGCCAAAATTTATGAAATAACCTAATTAAAAGGCCTTTGATATGAAAACCGTCAGGATCCTACAACAAATAAACAAGATTAATAAGGTTTAAGTTCAGAAGTAAATTAGGACAATAAAACAAAAATTGTTTGGAAAAACTAACTCATACTACTAAAATATGGAAATTCTCAAAATTTTGCCCATAAAACAGTAGCGTGCGAAATAAAATATGGCACCGCCAGATTTGTTTTAAAAGATAGTCTAAAATTTAAAGCCATTTGAACAAAAACCCTAAAAATCACTCCTGCAGCATATAAAGTTTCCAACAACCAAGTAGTAAGTCTTAATTTTGTCTTTAATCAGTCAACTGAACAGTCTTCTCACTCATTCATCTTGCCCGCTGACGCAAACGTGGGATGTCCATCTAACACACAGCCACTCTATTTCTCACATTTGGTTTTTTCCCTTCCTTTCTTTCTCTCTTTTTCTCTTTTTCTATTTTTATTTTCTTTCCCGAAATTTTTTTTTTTAATTTCTTTCATTTCTTACCCACATAATCCCCATGTTTACGAATTTAACTAACATATCTTGAAATAGTCATTAATTGACCGTATCATAATGTATTCACATTCAAGTAGTCCTTGTCGCGTTGAAGATCAAGAATACTTATGATGTTTTTTATTTCATTATTTTGGCATATCGCGTCGTAACTTAATTCGCTTACATTCGGCATTTTTCCTTTGCTTATCTTCAAGTTCTAAAATTCCTGCAACCTGCAAAAATTTTGTTAACTCCTCCAGTTTAGATATTCAGCCTCCTGAATAGTAATACTTGTGATGTTTTTGATTTCATCATTTTGGATTGCTTGCATTTCCAAGGTTGGGACAGCTATGCATTTAGTTGCATTTCCATACACAATTATGATAGGATGCGTAAATGCCATTGATGGGATTAATTTGTGATTTAAATGCTACAAAAACCCCAATGTATGATCCGGGTTCTCCTTTAGAACCCTAATGTATGTTGTGTGGTTCAAGGGAGTCCAAAGTTGGCGCCTTAGGCATCTTCTATTGAGTCTCCGTGCTTACCCCTTCCTTTAATATTTTTCACCCATTAGCAATCTGAAATCAAGTGATTGGGTTATTTTTAAAATCAAAAGTACTAGAAGCTTTCATCATCTATCACTGGTGACCAAGATTAAATTTGGCCAGATACATCTTAGTAAACCAATGATGAAAAAATTAGATGATGACAAAGGTGAGCATCTCAGTATCAGCATCCATGGGAGTCAAAATGTTCTAATTGCTCACGACAATATTCCAGAAAGAGGCAGCCAAACATGTATGCTCATACGGTGGAAATTCGATCAATGGTAGTGTCTGAGTACAAGCCACCTAGTAGCTTGTTTGTGCGGATTCTATCTCAGACTAGTTCCAAAGGGAGATCTTATGTTGAAGAATATTGTGAAGCAACGAAAGCTTATTTTCCTTCCAAACAATTACACAAACCAAATACAGAAAAGTAATTACACAAACCAAAGACCTTTCATTCAATATCCAAACCAAAGCATAATGGTGAAGGAAAAAGGCATCTTCCATAGATTCCTATGGATTGACATCATGGATAACAGGATTCAAATCAAAACAGATAAATTAATCAAACACACTAAAAAAATCCTAACCCTAACAAGCACGGATACATTAATGAAGCATTAACATCATTGATACCAAAGACACTAAAAAAATCCACGAATACATTAATGAAACATTGACATCATAGATATCAAAGAAGGATTCAAATCAAAACAGCGAAAATAATCAATCACACTAAAAAAACCACAGCACTGACATCATGGATACCAAACGTTGAAATCAAATAGAGAAATTAATTAATAATAATATGGAATAATGAATCTCATTACCTCTCCAAGAATGATCTGGTCATGCCGTCCCTCTGTCTCTCTGGAGCTCCGAATGTGGCACTGTAGCTCCCAACTTGCCCTCCGAATCTGGAGGAAAAAACGAACAATGAGAGAAAGGTGTACAAAACCCCAAATGAGAGTGTTTCTGCTTTAGGTGTGTACAACAAATGCAATGTAGCGCCCTTAATTAACAAAAGAACAAGTTCCAAAAACATACCTATTTTTTCCGAATCTACTCAATCCAAATGAGCTTTTTCCTCTTCCCACCAAGTAAACCTTCAATTATTTGGGAAAAAATTTAATATTTTCTGAAATATGGACATTGGTAATTAAATTATTTTTATTCGTGATTTAAGCTAACATCACAATCATAAGGAAGGAAGAAGAACCAAACAGCTAAACACTATAAAATTAGAAAAACATAGATATCATTGTAGGCCTTAAAAGAACGATAAAAGATAGCAGAACAGAATGAATAGTAATGAAATGAACTACCTGAGGACTGAGGAGGCATATCACTCTACGAGCACGACCGTAAAACGCCACCCAGCACTCACTCTGAGGATAAAAGATTAGGATGTGCAAGAGATAGAGAGAGATGGAAGAGTTCTCACTAGAGAGAGATCAGAGATTTCTCACAGGAATGTAGAGAAAGATATGGAGAGAGAGAGAGCAGGACGGAACCTTCAAGTATCTCCTATAGTTGTCATCTGCCAAGAAAAGGGGAAAAAAATTGAAGGTCTGAAATTTAAGAAAATAGAGAAAAAAACAGAACTGAAATTATTGTAAATAGGGAAAATAAATTAAAGAGCAACAAGTAATATAAATGTTATTCAATATAAGCATTTATGAAATAATTGAATGAATAGCTACTGTTAGAACAAAGCTACATATTAGTATATTACATATTCAAATTACAGTGAACTTGTTGGAAAACACAATCAACAATCAAGTAAAACAACACATGAATCAAATTACTAAACCCTAAGATTAAGCTAATATATGTACATAATTCACAATAACGTACATACACGGTAATTGAGATCAATATACTGATGGAACAAAGCTACAGATTAAATCAAAATAAGAGAAGAAATTTTGTGAACTCACCGGAAACGGTGTAGATCCAGAAGAGGAAAGTGCCGTTGTTGCGGCCTAGGGTGAACTCAGGTCAGCAAATAATGAAGATAGTGTTGTGGAGAAGGAGACGGCAGAGAAGATCAGAAGAAGAGAGGTGCGGCGGCGGTTTTCTCACAGATAGGTGGCTAGGTCTTGAGTTCTTTGGCTAGGTTAGGATTGATTCAATGAAGAAACAGTAAAGTTAACTCAAGTTCCGTTTTATAACTAACCCTCTAAATTGTTTCCTAAATTATTAATTTGTTACCAGAAAAATTTATTACAAAAGATTATTTTATACTTCTCTTTTTTTTTAATTTGTCATTTCTTATTAAATTATTTATTATTATATTTTTTCTTATTTAAATATTAATGATATCATTTACCTTAATTTTATAGTTAGTATCAATTAATTATAAAAATAAATAAATAAATAAATAAATTTGTAACTATCATTTTTTTAAATGATTAACTTATTATAATAAAACTTAGGGTTAATTATAATGACACTCCTAAGGTTTGCTATATTGACAGCCATATATAACTTAATCGTTTTTTAAACAAAGACACCCCTAAATTTATAAACTTGAACAATGACACCCTATTTTAAAAAAACTGAGCCAAACAGAGCCTTAAGTAACATGAAATGTCTAATATACCCTAAAATATATTTTAATACTCACTTAAAATGACCAGACTATCCTCTCATCTCATCTCATCTCGTCTCATCTCATCTCTCTCTTTCAACAGCTCTTCTCATCTCTCTATCTCTCTCTCTCTCTCTCTTCTTCCACACCCTCAAACCCCTCTCTCTCTCTTCCACAACCCCAATCCTTGAATCAAACCCAATTTTTTCTCCATCTCACACACACAGTATCTTTCAAACCCCCAATCTCGATTCTTGCCGGTCAATTCCTTGCCGCAGCACGGTTCGGAGAGCACTTTTAGGACAGCGTTGGGCTCAACTGTGGAGGAGTCGTCGTGGAGCACTTTTAGGACAGCGCCCGGCGAGCAAGAGGGAGTGCTCGACTGGTGGAGAGCTTGAATTTGGATGGCTCGGCCGTGGAGGACTCGCGGCGGCTGTTGAGGGCTTGGCCGGTGAGGGCTCGGCCGTGATGAAGACTGATGTGGGCGACGGACTGATGGCACTAAACGCCGATGGATAGCTTAGCTGGATGGAATCGGCGGCAGTTGGCTCGGTTGACTTCGAAACGGCGGTGACGGGCGCGGCTGACTGGCAGCGGCGGTGACAGGCGCTGACTTTTTTATAGATGGGCTCTTTTTTCTTAAACTGTCATTGTTTGATTTGTTTCAATAATTATTAATTTTGAATTGAATAGAATGAATTAATTTTTGCTCAGTTTAATTCTTATATATATATGTATATATATATATATATATTCTGTTTAGCAATGAGAGTGATAAATATATTTCTAACTGGTGAAATGTGATTTAACACTCATCTTCTCTTTCCCATTTTCTAACTGTCCCAAACAGCAACGGTGCCTTGAGCACCACAACAACCACTGGCGGCACACCAATGTGTAGTGAGAGTGATAAATATATTTCTCTTTCCCTTACTGGCGGCACACCACCACAACCACCTCACCATGACAGGTGCTAGACAGCAAACCACCACAAGCACCGTCACCGCAACGGTGCCTTGAGCAATGTAACTGTCCCAAAACTACACATGCTCCTTAACCTTTAATTCTCTCCCATCTTCTATCATGTTAGCAACCCTAATAATTTAGTTTAGAAAGAAAATAAAAATCTATGAGTGTAATGACAATAAATATAATAAATTAAGTGGTACTCACTCAAACAAACCAAATAAATCAACAAAAAAAACCTCGATCAACCAAAAAAACCCAAATCAATTTTTTAGATAAGGCTCACAGAAGATCAAAAAATTAGAAGGAGAAGGGATTTTTTGGATGAGGGTAATTTGGTCATTTTACGTGGTCAAAGTGTAAATGTGATACCCCCGAATTTCCAAATGCGGGTTGGCCAGGCCCACGCCCGAATACCCGAGGATATCAAAACAAATTGATAATAAACGAATACAGAGTACAAAAGAATAAAGAAGAATAAATAAAATGCTGACAAGAAAGTAAAATGATAATTTAATAATAAACCTCATAATATATTTTCATTAATTTATAAACTCTTCTGATACAACTGATCCTCCAAAATACAACTCAGGAATCCATACTATGTGGACCCCTAGAAAATCCAAACTAAACAAATGACAGTAATCTGAAACAGGAAACTGAATCATAAAGGAACTCCTATGTAGCATCGGAAGAATGAAGTAGACTAATCCTCGCTTAGCACGAACAACCTCTACTCGTGACGAACACCTGAAAAATAATGGTGGGTCAGGCCCACAAATAAGTTCTACTCTACTACAGTCCAAGCAGAGATCCGATACACGTATACATCCTAATCAATCCAACAGTAACTAAAGGAACCTCACTAGACTATAGGGTTGTCTCAACCTGAATAGTAGGCAACATGCAAAACGCACATATAGTGGGTATGAGTACCTAGACCTACCAAGGTACACAACTACACTATATCTAGCTACACATCCCTGGCGATATACGCGCCCTAACCATTGATCCTAAGATTCAAGCTCATATCATGGCACCATACTTATATATATAAAATCTAGTAACCATCCTATCTAGTATAAATTAATCCTCCATAAGTCATTCAACTTGTTCAGCTGACCTGACTTTAATATAAGTAGGACTTAACATTTTAGTTAATCCATTCCCTTATATAATAAATTAATCCTCCATAAGTCATTCAACTTGTTCAGCTGACCTGACTTAAATTATAAGTAAGACTTAACATTTTAGTTAATCCATTCCCTTATATAAAATAGGTAGGACTTAACTGATAAGTTAATCCATCCCTAAAATGTCACCGTCCCATACCGGTGCATTAAACCACACAATCCAACAATTGATGTAACAATTAAGGAAAATATATCAAACATTCCATAAATAACTATGATAAATATGATATCAAGTTATCACATAATAGGAATGACTTATTATTTCTTTAAACTTCTTATATCATATGTCCTACACAAACTGAATCTTATACATGATGATATTTTATTATACCGTTAAATAAGAGTTCTCCATATCCAATTCATCCTACACATTTAATCTCAATTGCTAAAATATTTTAAAAGATTAAATCCATTCGTTTGTTTAAAACATTCAAATAGCAAGCATCATTATGATTGAGTCTATTTAAATTTATTAAAACCCAAACCTAGTCTCTATTTAATGTTCAGGAATCTTAGGCATGTTTTTACGTTCCATCATTCCACAGATATGAAAAATACATAATTTAAACATGTAAAAATTCACATAAGAAATCAAATCAAAATCATGCATTTTATCAATTCATAACACAAGAACAGATATGAACCAATTTCATAAAACCTATGTTCTAACCCAATTAAACATGCATAATTATTTAATTTTATGTGTTTAACAAATTCTGGAATTTCCTAGGCATGTACAGAAACACGAATCAAAGGGAAAGAGATAGAAGAAGAACTTGCCTTAAACTTTCGGATCGAAAGTTAAACTTCTTCTTTCTTGATTTTCTCTCTATAGGGTTTTTCTCCTCATTCCTTCCTTTTCCTCCTCCCTCTCTAACACTATCTCTCCAGTATATATCACGTGAATATTTCTAACCCCCTTTTACAACCTATAACTATATATTTATAGGCTAAATAAAATAACCCTAACCCTTTTCCCAATCCAAGTCAACTAAAAAAAATGAAAATAAAAATATTAAAAAGGTAAGCAAAATATATTACGTATATAATTTATGTATATGTTTATTAAATAAATAAATTATACACATTCCATTATTTATTAATGGATTATCCAATAATATTTAAGTTACCATAATATTATAAAGCAACTTAAAACATAACACGTATCAAATCTATATATATTTTTATTATTTAAATAAACATATATATCAGATTAAATATTACTACCCAAATTACCATAAAAGTAATTAATAAATTACTTTCTCTTTTATATATATATTAAAAAGGTAAGTAAAATATGTTACGTATATAATTTATGTATATGTTTATTAAATAAATAAATTATACACATTCCATTATTTATTAATGGATTATCCAATAATACTTAAGTTACCATAATATTATAAAGTAACTTAAAACATAACCCGTACCAAATCTATGTATATTTTTATTATTTATATATAAAACATATACATCAGATTAAATATTACTACCCAAATTGCCATAAAAATAATTAATAAATTACTTTCCTTTTTATATATGTATATAATATATATCTATATATATACATACATTATCCATGGATAATAATCCATACACATCCAACCTCCTATCCAAGTAGTCCATGGGACCCAATTAGTTGGCTCATTACTACTAACCATAACCATAAAAGAAAAATAAAATAAAATAATAAAAGAAAAGAAAACTTTTAATTTACAATTAAAACAAATAAATAAATACCGAGATTATCCTTTTAAAATTAGGGTATTACAGTAAACATGTACTTTCATCATGTTTGGGGTGTCATTGTTCGAGTTTGCAAACTTGGGGGGTGTCTTTGTCCAAAAAAAGGTTAAGTTGTATATAACTGTCAATATAGCAAACCTCAGGGGGTGTCATTGTAATTAATCCTACAACTTATTATACTCACTTTAAAAAAATTTAGTATAAAAAAATATCTTCTTTTTCAAACTATATTTATAAAAAATAAATAAATTACATAAATAAAAAAATATCTTCTTTTTAATGCAATATATTCAAGAAAATTAAGAAATTACTTAAATTGTTTCAAAAATTTCTATTTAAGATTTTTATTTAAATAATTAATTTAAAAGTTAAAGGCAGACTTATGCAAATTTAATAGAGAATATTTCATCAAATTAGTAAGTGTAATTCAATAAGAAAGGGTATTATGATCATTTAATGAAAAATACATAAGACAATGGGACATTTTGCAACTAAATGTGATAGTTTAGGGGATTTCATGCACAAAACATAGTCCAGCGGGATTAATTGCAAATTTAGACATAATTGAGGGGGATTTTTTGCACGTTACCCTATTATATAATATTAATATATATATATATATATATATATATATATATATATATATATGAT